TTTACCAGAGACAGAGTGGGGAGCAGAACAGGCAGATCGATGAAGCACACTCCTGAGGGGAGCAGCAAGCGAGATAGAAGAGGTCTGCCGCACCATGTGGGTCGCGTCCCAGGACCAGGGATCAAACTCACACTGAAGCAGCTGCGGCCAGCTTGCAGTGCTGCATCCTAACCTGTTGTGCCACCAGGGAGGGCCCCCAGACTGACTTTAGAGCCAGGGAACGCTGGGCTTGAATCACAACTCACTCACTTCCTTCTTGTGGGAATTTCATAAGCCCACCACCCTGCACCCCAGTTTCTTGATCTGTAAAATGGCTGATATGGTGGCTAATGAAGAATCTGAGCCCCCTGGATAGGAATCCCCTCTCTCCCCGCTGACTAGTTTGATAATTCTGGGCTTCATTTGCTCAGATGTGAAATGGGGAAGGTGATCATAACATCTGTGTCTTGGGATTGTGATAATTAAATGAGTTAATAAATGGAACCCTCCAAACAGCCTGGTTCCTAGGAGGCTCTCTGTGGTTGCTACTCTGGTCATTACTGTTGCTGCCTTTGAAGATTTAGGGGACACGGGGGTGGAGATTTGAATTGATATATACAAGCCATCTAGATCAAAATGGGTGCTTGAATATCTTGGAAATTAAGTATTAAATCATTAATTCCTTAATCATGCCAATACACCAATGCAGCTGTTTTAAGCCCTAAACCTTTAACCCTGAATTCTGATTGAACTTTGGAATCATCTAGAGAGCTTAAAAAAATGCTCTAGGGATGATTCTAGTAGATGAGCTCAGAAGAACTGAGGATGCCATCCCTTCACCTTCCTAGATCTGCTGTCAGTATTTTCCTTTACAGCCAGGTCTAAGAATTTATCTCTGTCTCTATGTCCCTCGGGCCAGGACAGTGACTGGCACCGCTTGGCAGTAAATAGAAAATATTTAGGAAATACGTAAATTTCAAGTTACATGAAAGTAGGGGCTGTATATATCTTGGATCGTCATTAGATAGGTCCAGGGCCAAGGAAACTGCTAAACACATAGCAGGTGCTCAGTAAGTAGGTGTTGGCTTCATGAATGTGTTCACTTGTGAAAGGAAATGGCAGAGCATGGGGAAATCCTACTGAGTTGTCACTGCCACCTGCTGGCCACTTTGTTACAATGCAGGGAACTCACTGGATTTGCCTTCTCTTAGGATCCCATGCTTTCCTTCCACCACGGAAATCATACACCTTATAGCTGAGGATGTGGAAACCCAGAGAGGGCAAATATCTTGCCCACAGATGGGCAAGTGCACAGCCAGCCTCTGAATCCTGAGTCACTAGACACAGGCCATGCACTTGACTCTCTCTTTCCTGCAAGGGAATTGATGGAAGATCTTTCAAGCAGCTTTACTTGGGCAGGCACTATATGTCGGGCTCTGCGGATATGCGGATATGTCGGACACCAGCCCCAGCTCAACAGAGTTCTGCTGGGGCTAATTCTCAAAGATTTTTTCAGAGGAATCACTAGGACATGATGGATGCAGAGTTCTGACCAAGATGGTCTTTGTATTTACTATAAAGATAACACAGACCCAAACTGTTTTTTTAATGATACATCTCTGTACTATTAAAAGTCAGATTTTCCCTTCCTGCAGCTCATCCCTAGGCTCATTCTGCAAGGCTGATGATTCCTTACCAGTCCTTTTTGGCACCTCCCATGGACTCATAAGAGCGCACGATCTAAGATCCCCACATGGATTTAAGGACGGCATTGTGATGTGACTCAGGGGTCAGCTGCACTGATGTACTCCTGGGTAGACTTCAAGCCTAGAGCTGACCGTGGGTTAGCGGAAGGCTTGGTCTTGGTCAAGCATGGCCATTGGGAGCCTCCTGTGGGTGGCACAGGGAACTCTATTCTATATGTCGCCTCCTCCCCTTCACTGTTGCAACAGACTCCACCCCTTGGTAGAGCTGGGGTCTTTCCCAGGCACCCCTTACTCTTCTGAGTGTCTTCTGAAAGCAAGTGCCAATTTTTTGTCAACTTACCCACTTACGTTTGCTTACATGCTTGAGACCAGGGGCTCCCCAAGGCAGTCATGGTGCCTGAATCCCCTCCCAGCCTCCCTCTGGATGTATCCCCTGGCATGCAGTAAATATGAAACATTCTCTGAATAAAAGCATGAGTGCCTGCATCCGTACATTGTTAAGGAAGATATATCCTCAGCTACCTGAGGAGCTGGAAAGGCCCTTTTACTGGGTCTGACTTCAGGGCTGCCAGGACTGCAGGGGTGGGAAGAAAAGAGTTCTTAACTCCTGATGAAGTTTGCCATTGATATAGAAGAAATAGTCCTTCTATAGGGTAGGAGCCAGGTTCCTACCCACCACACATTTCAGGAGACCAAAACCCAGATGCTCCGTTATAGTGACTGTTGTCACTGAAACATGGTCATTCATCCATTCGTTCATTGGAAAGGCAGTACATTTAAATGTTTTCCTTAAATTCAGGAGGGTACTAACTGTGCCCCAATAGGGCATGGTAGGGACCATGGCTCACTGGGAAACACATTAGTGGTCTAAGTAGGACAGCTGCTACTCACTCTGTGGGAGCTGACTGACCACGTAACAATCACTGCCATGCAACTATATAAGGCTGAAGTTACCTATCTCCCTGTTTCAGAAGAAGTCGGAAGTCTAATTATTACTTAAAATATCCTGACTTGCATGTACTAAGTAGAGCCCAGGTATAGTTCATATTCACAGAGGAGACGTTTCCAGTTGAGACCTTGACTACGTTGTGTGTCTCCCACTGATGAGTTCCACGGGGCCAGGAATTGTATTTGTCTTATTCATGCCTGTGTCTTCCCTACTTGTTGGCACAAAATAGGTATTCAGTAAATATCTGTTGGCTGAATGCATGAATGCGTCCCTCGGACCAGGCATGTGCCAACATGAGCGTCCAGCCTGGGTGTTGACCAGGTCATAAAAAAATCTGCAACATGATGGAAGTGCACAGAGGTCATGGGGCAGGGCTTTGAGGACAAGGGGATCCTTGCTGCTGGGACAGATCCAGGCTCTCATGGGGTTTCTTGAGATTAATCTTGCAAAATAGATTTAAAGCAATACCTATTGATTATCATATAGTTTCTGTGTGTGAGGAGTTGGAGCAATTTAAATGGGCTCACTGTTCACACACTCTCAAAGGAGAGACTCTGGAAGAGTGGGGGTCACCCAAAGGCTCAGCTGGGGAAGGACTCAGTCCACGCTCACATGGCTGTTTGCAGGCCTCGATTCCCTACAAGCTATTCAGTGCTCATCCTCAGTTCCTGGCCACAAGGATCTCTCCATACAGCAACGCACCACATGGCCAATTGTCTCCAGAGACAGCAGGAAAAAGCCCACTAGCAAGACAGAATTGTAATCTCATGCACCACCTTTGTGGTAGCAACCTCCCATCACCTTTCCTATTGGTTAGAAGAAGCCACAGGTCTCGCTGTAATGAGCATGAATATGGGCAGGCAGAACCACTAAGGGCTGTCTTAGAGTGCTTTCAGTAGACACGAGGTGAAAGGGTGTTCAAGGCAGAAGAAAGAGCACACGCAAATGCACCAAGGGGTGAAATATATAACCCGTCCAAAGAAATGAGACTAATCTGATACGAAGTAAGGATCAATCTGTGAGCGAAGCAGGAACCAGATGAGGCAAAGCCCTGAGAGCCCAATCTGGAGACTGTGTCTCTTCTCCAAGTGTATCAGAATCATCAGGTGAGATCTAATAAATGACCCGCCAGCTCCATTTTCGGGAACAAGGGCCTGCAGAGTTGAGATGATGACAGGCAGGGGAATTGCACTGGAAAGTTGTGAAAATCACTCAGATAGTACAGGAATCCTTCCAGTGAAAGAGACAGCATGCCATCTCTTCCAAGGGTCTTGCTAGTGAGTGGGTAATAAAAGCTGTCAATGGAATGTCTCTCCCTCTTGTTTCTCTGAGACACTGTTGCCAGTGCAGAATGTGAGGTTTAAAGTGGGGGAGCTTACATACCAAAGCGCAGAGGTGACAGTGTTTGGGGATTTGGTGTGAAGAAACGTGTCCATGTGCTCTGTTCCTGGGAATGTAAAGTGGTACCGCCATAGTGGAAAACAGAATTACCAAATGATCTAGAAATTGCACTTCTGGGTGTCTACCCAAAATAACTGAAAACAGGGTCTCAAAGAGACATGTGCACACCCAGTGTTCATGGCAGCCTTATTCACAATAGCCAGAAGATGAAATAGTCCAAATTCCCATAGACAGATGAATGGTTACAAAACATGGTCTGTACATGTGATGGAATACTATTTAGCCCTCAAGACGAAGGAAATTGTGCTATGACATGGATAAACATTGAGGACATAGTGTTGCATGAAATTAGTAACTTGAGGTATCTCCATAGTCACATCTACAGGTGAGAAAATAGGATGGCATTTGCCAAGGCCTGAGGGAGGAAAGGCTGAAGAGTCGTTTACAGATACAGAGTTTCAGCTTTGCAAGATGAAACAGTGTTGTGGCGGCTGATTATATAACAATGTGAATGGAGTTCATACTACTGATGTGTGCACTTAACTGATGGTGGATTCCACACTATGTGAATAGTGTAAGATTTTACCACAGACCAAAACAAATTTAATAATACATTTTAAATGCTGTAGAATTTGTAGTTTTGTGTGCAAAGCAGTATCCGCTGGCTGTCCATCCCACTGGGTGTTAAGAAGGAATTAGGTCACATGCTAAGCCTGGAATGGGTTAAACAGGATCAAAGAGGTGGTGGTCCTTGCTGGAGGTCACACAGCTACTGAGATTTTCGACCAGATGGTATCATATTGTGCCCAGAGGTGGCAAAGAGCAAAGTGAGTTGAAAACGGTTCACAGTGGGGATGGTAGAGACCGGGGCAGGGGAGGCTGGGCAAAGTCAGGTCTCCCGGGCTCCGTGCAAGTGGGGGTCCGTTAGGGTCTTTTCTCATCACTCCTTTTGTGTTGCTCTGCAGCGGAGGAATCTCTGGCATGTGACAACCCAGGATTACCTGAAAACGGGTACCAAATCCTGTACAAGCGGCTCTACCTGCCGGGGGAGTCCCTCACCTTCATGTGCTATGAAGGCTTCGAGCTCATGGGTGAAGTGACCATCCGCTGCATCCTGGGACAGCCGTCCCACTGGAACGGGCCACTGCCGGTCTGCAAAGGTAAAGGCACCTACGTGGGCAGGGAGGAACCCGGGGTTCAGGACTTGCTGGCAGAGAATCCGAATTTGCTCCCAAAAGCCAAGTATTTAATTTAATTAATTTACTTATATTATTTCTATTACTTTATGTTACGTAATATATTTTATCTTATTTATGTTGTTTATGTTATTTTATTTACTTATAAATAAGTATTTTATTTATTTTAGTAAATCTAAGGTGCTACCATCGTCTTCTGCATAACTGAGAAAGTGACAAATTGCTCCCATCTAAACTATAACACCATATTAATCTTAGCATTTTCACTGACTGAAGTAAGTTCTTGTCTAAACTGTCATAACCAAGAGTCAGCCTACTTTTGACTCCCGCTTCCACAGAGTGGCTTTGGTATTTCCCGTCTACGGAATCCACTTCTCACAGTCACTTGGCTCCCCAGTGTTGTTTGGGCTTCCCGTTTGATTTGGGGATGTTCTCCCAATTCTCCAAATGCGGATGAACCTCCGTGAGCCATTGAGCCGGCACGGAGATCTTGGGCGCCATCTGGTGGCAGAGATGATAGCATACCATTTAGTGTAAGACACCCCATCTCGGAGATGGTAAAAAAAAAGGGCAAGTATTTTAGTTTAATGAAATACTCATCACTGAAATTAAGTTGTGACATACCCAATTGGTTTGAACCTATTCATCTGTGTCTTTGAGATGTGCAATTACTAACACCCTAAGTACATTCAATATTTTAAGCCAGTAAATCTTACTTAACCTTTTATAGAATTAAATCCCTTGGAGAATCATACCAAAAAACTCAGAAATCTCATGCCTGGTAGAAAATAAGCATGCAACTTTACATTTCTACTTGGGTACCTGGAACTTAACCACCCATGACTTCAGTGGCTCCCCAAATGCCTTATTCATGAAATCTAAATTTTTTAATCTTAAGAATACTTTCCCACCAGATTTCTAGTTCAGAGGAATAGCCAAATTAATTCAAAGCAAGTACTCAAACCAACTCTTGTACATGCTCATAGCAGTTCTTTTCACACAAAATGGAAATAACCCAGTGTTCATCAACTGATGAATGGAGAAACAAAATATGACATTCATAAGAAAAAATATTATTCAGCCATAAAAAAGAATGAAAAGCTGATGCATGTTACAACATAGGTGAATCTTGAAACATTATGCTTAGTGAAAGAAGTCAGGCACAAGTGATTGCAAATTCTCTAACTGTACTTATATGAATATCCAGAGTAAGCAAATCCCGAGAGAAAGTAAATTGCAGTTTCCCTGGGGCTGAGGGGTAGGAGAAGTAACTGCTTCACTGGTCCAGTTTCCCTCTGAAATTATCAAAAGCTTTAGAACTACAGATGATTGTGGTACCATATGGCTAATGTGCTAAATGCCACTGAATTATACATTTTAAAATGTTTTAATTTTAAAAATAAATTAATAAAGCATTTGGCTTATTTAGGAAAGAATTGTGGGTAACAATTTGAGAATATCATTAAATTCACATATTGTATATATGTGGGACCAGGGCTGTTTCTTCCACTTGTCATGGAGTTACAGCAGCTGGCTTGGACCAGTGAGGAGAGAAACATAAGGACAGAAAGTCATTGGGAGGAGGACACTAGGGAGAAAAGATAGGCATCATGTACTTCTTGACCTCTGTGATACATCAGTTAATGTCTTTGTTTCTTTTGATGAGTTACTCTCATGTTTTGTGAATTTTACCTGTTTCTTTCACTGTTTTCCTGAAACACTCACTTATGGGTGAGTTACAGTCGACATTTAGAGAGGCAAAAGGAGGAGCTCAGAGAAAGTAAGTGACTTTCCCAAAGCCACACAGCTGGAATGAGAGAAAATAGGAACCCGCCGGGGGCTGTTGACAACACTCTGAAGTCAGACATGAGCTTCAGTGCCTCCTTCCAGGGCTAAATTCCATAGACAGCCAGGTGCACAACCAAACTCTAACTTGTGTTGGGGTCACATCTGCTGAGTCTCCTCCATTTCCTGATGCCCTGCCCCTAGGGCCATCCATGGTTAGGACTCTTGCTAGCCAGTTTGCTAGATTTGGACTGGTTTTGTTGTCCTCATGAGGTCATGACAAAAGTCAGAGAGTGACTGTGCTAAGGCTCTCACTAGGGAGCTTCAGTACGAGGTAGGTCATGAATAAAGCTGGGCCTGGGGGAACAGCCCTCCCACCCCTTGAAACACAATCCTTGCACCTAAGCCCTTCCTCTTGAGACTGTTCATCCTTGAAGCCCACCCATGGTAGGTACATTGTCCTCTCAGCCACCATGGTGCCTTCAATGCCCGAGGACAGAGATGCCAGCCTCCCAGCAGCTGAAGCTTCCAGAGAAAATGCACAGAGAACACAGGAAAATGAATGACTTCCAGAGAGTTCAGATCTGTGGCAATGTAGGAATAAAAAGTTTCACATCAAACATAAACCTAGTCAAATAAATGTGGAATAGAAATGAAATTAGAGGGCCCTCCCTGATGGCGCAATGAGTTAGGACACAGCACTGCAAGCTGGCCACAGCCGCTTCAGTGCCAGTTCTAACCCCTGGCCCCGGCGGTGACCCACATGGCGCGGCAGGCCTCTCGTGTCTCACCTGCTGCTCCCCTCAGCAGTGTGCTTCATTGATCTGCCTGTTCTGCTCCCTTCTCTGTCTCTGGTGAAGCCTCTCACCTCTGCACTTCTGGCCTATACCGCAGTTCTGTATGCATAAATACATAAATCTCTTTTTAAAAATGAAATGAAATTAGAAAGGCTCGCACACGTGTTTCCAAGCAGGAAGGGTGTTCCCTCTCTAGTCCATTTGGGGATTTTGGCTGTTGCCCTGAGCATCACCAGGCATCACCCTTTGTCCTCCATGAAGACAGCAAAAAGCCAGAAGAGCTCGTGGCAGCAGAGGTTAGAGAAAGCCAAACAGCCCCAGGGTGAAATCCATGTCTTTGCTGAGAAGCTGCCTGGCACAGCAGAGGTTGCTTCGCTCCTCTGAGCCACTGTTTGCTCACCTGTAAAATGGAGGTGGTGACAGCAGCCACCTCCTGGAGTGTTGGGAGTGATTAAATGAGCAGCTATCGCTGCAGCTCTACCCAGGACACCTGACCTGGGCCATGCTCAGTGGCCGCTCTGTTCTCACTGGGGCCTGTTCCTTCCATATTGTTCTCTCCTCTCTAGACCGGAGGGAGGGAATCTGTCCACGTGTTCCCACTCGGCCCAGTAGCCAGAGAAATGGTCTGGATGGAAAGGATTCCTGATGAAAACGCAGCACTCTCACCAGCCAAGAGTGACCTAGGCTTCTGTTTTGTTTGGCTTCATTTCATGCCCACAGAGTGAATTCACGCCACACTGACCAACACTTCTGATTTCTCTTGCAGTTAATCAAGACAGCTTTGAACATGCTTTAGAAGGTGAGTTCCACAAGGGGACAGATCCTATAAATCAGACTCCTGGCAGAAAACACAAGCAGGAATTGAATAGCTCTATCCAGGTGCTTAAAAAAAAAAAAAAAAAAAAAAACTCCACTGAAGGTCATTTTAAAACAAATGATATTGTCAAGAAAAAGTCATGGGGTTTGCAACTGACGGTCCCAGTGATGGCCTGAGCGGGATCTGACACTCGTTCTGTGCGTGATGATAAAGCAAGAAAAACCTCAGCAGCCAGACTCTGAGGCCAACCCAACTGTTGAACTGCTCACCGCGGGGGGTACAGCTTGGGGGATTCCACCCAGTAATGTCTACCCCTCTACCCCCCTGAGGGCAAGGTGGGAGGGGAGAGATGCTCTGAGCCCCATCTCTGTCTTCCCAGACAGCCTCGTCTCTGGACCTCTGCTCTCCTTTTCATTCAGAAGTTACATGTAAGGTGCGTCTGTGTGAAACAGATGCTAACGCACCCTGGTCTCGGTTTCTGTGGCTCCTTCTCCCCTATCCCCCAGAACCACTCAGGCTGGCTTTGATGTCAGAAATAGGCAAACCCCATTGCACTGAAAAACTGGTTTAAGCGATGTGCAGTTTCATGGTTGTTTCTGAGCCATCTGTAGCTTTCTGGCAGGGAGTGATTCACCCGGAGAACCTGGGGTCCTGAGGCTCATAGACCGTTAGTCGCTGGTCCTTGTCAGGGAGGACCCTGAGCCCAGGCAGGCAGGGTCAGGGCTCTAACGAGCTGCTGTCAGCGGTCCCTGTGAAGGCACGCGGCGTCGCTCTCACGGTGGCCATCCTTTTTCTGTCTTTTGCCAAAAGAACATCTTAAAGGCCCGGGGTGATGCAGAGATCACCTGTGCTCGTGCCTTTACCTGTGCCTTCACCTGTGCGTTAGGGTGAATGTTTCCGACCGTGCGGACTGGCGTCAGTGGGTGAGAACGGGGCGCTCAGCCCGGCTGTCCGAAGTGGCCTCGCGGAACGCGCAGGAGAGAAAGCCGAAGCAAACAGTCCCCAGGACAGGCGGGGTCTCGCCGCCTGCTGTGCTGGGAACCGCGCCCGCGCGGCTCCCGCACCTTCCACAAGCCCTGGGGGATGGCGGAGGTTACAAGGGAGGCGGAGCGTCAGGGCTGGGTCCCCGCGCTCGGGGACTGTGTCCTCCTCGGCCGGGGTGCCGGGGTGCGCAGCGCCCTCTTCTGGAGGGTCCGAGTGCGGCAGCTCTGGGAAGGAGCCGCTCGGGAGGCGCCGGGGAAGCGGGGCGGGGCAGCGAGCTTCTGCGCCCCTCCTCCGCCAGCTGCAGCTAGGGCAGACCCCAGCTTGGAAACCCCGGAGGGAGCCTCGTGGAATGTACCCGCCCACACCCCTCCGTCTCAGGTCCAGGCTGCTGCTCGCCTCTGTATTCCTCACGCAGCGTGTGTGTGTGTTGGGGAGGGGGGGGAGGGGGGAGTGAGGAGAGGTGGGGGGAGGAGAGGGGGTAGAGATGGGGGAGGGGACATTGGGGATTTTTCTCCATGCCCCCTTGGAATTGTAATTTAACCATACTTCAACTGTACCCCATTAAAAAATGAGCACGGTATGATGGGGATAAAAAAACTAACCCGCCCCCTCCACTCGCCGCCGAGGATGACTCCCGGGAGCAGCTCCGCACCGTCTCGGGCTCCTTCCTGTCTCCTGACTCCCACCTAAGGCTGCACTGGTGTTAGCTCTCTGAGCCGGTGCGGACAGACGGGACAGGGCAGGTGCCCCTTGGAAGCCGGGACCCACGTGGGGGAGCATGAGCCATGAGGGCCTCATTGGTTTCTGTGTTCAGTAGCAGAAGCGGCAGCAGAGACCTCGCTGGAAGGGGGCAACATGGCCCTGGCTATCTTCATCCCGGTCCTCGTCATCTCCTTACTGCTGGGAGGAGCCTACATTTATATCACCAGGTAGGGGGTGCGAGAGCGGGGCTGGGGGGCTGCACCTCGACTCAGCCCCAGCTCAGGGAAGAGCAGGCATTTCACCTCTCTGAGCCTCAGGGGATGCTGAGTCAGCTCAACTCTGGGGTAAACATTTATATGGGACACCTCCCACCCCGCTGGTAGGAGAGCTGAGCGTGCTCAGCAGATTAAGAGACTCTTATCCAAGGAGCGGGGTGCAGGGGAGAGACAAACCCTCACACTGCAGACCTCTCTCTCAGGCGTGCACTTATTCGACAAGTAAGCTGTGGCAGCCGGCTGGTGTTGACTCGGGTGTTGAGGGTCATAGAATTCGCACTTTACCAAGAAGGAAGCTATTAAACCCTGCCGGAGACAGTCCCTCATCCATGCTAATGCACAATTACTCAGCACCCACCATGTGCCAGGCAGTTCTCTGGGCTCTAGGAGTATTATTTGAACAACACAGACGATCTTTGCCCTTGTGGAGTGCACGCTATAATGGGAGAAGATAGACAGTAAGCAAAGTGTATAAGGAAAGTTTAAGTACGTTAGAAGTGTGTAGTACGTTGGACGGTGATAAAAGAAAAGAATAACCAGAAGGGAGAAAGAGTACTCGTGTGGAGTCGCGGTTGAACTTTAAGTGGCGTAGGCAGAGGAGGCCCCACCGAGAAGTGACAAGCAATGACTAAATGCTTGTCACTGAAAGCAATGACTAAATGAGGTAAATATCTGGCTGAGGAGGGTTCCAGGTGGTGAAGCAGCATGTGCAAAGGCCCTGAGGTACGTCCTGATCTAAATTGTCCCTGTTTCCCCAGGTTGCTGAAGGGAGGGGAGAACTTCACAGTACATGATAACACTGTGACAAGCAGAGTGAAGGAATAGTGTGGTGACAGAGGAAGTGCCTTTAAATAAAGAGGTGGTCAGGAATGGCTGCCCAGAGGCAAGAGAGTGTTTAGTAGGTTGTTGCCACCCTTAGCAGTAAAGAGACCCCAGGCCTTGTGCGGTTCTCAGTGGAAAGCAACTATAATTGTAGCTTTCAAGCCCCTCAGAGCTCCACCTGTGAGAGGCTGTTCCCACAGCTGCTCATTGTTATCCGCGGGGTGCCGGTGCTCAGGAACTGGTAGCAAGTGTTTCCTTTTCCTTTGAAGGTGTGTCCTCGGCTGGGAGAAGTAACTTCTCTCGATTGTCTTTTCTGCAGATGTCGCTACTACTCCAACCTCCGCCTGCCCCTCATGTACTCACATCCCTACAGCCAGATCACCGTGGAAACCGAGTTTGACAACCCCATCTATGAGACTGGGGTGAGTTGGTCTCACTGTGCTCCCTGGCGCACCCCCCTCTCCATCTGCCTAGATTCACCAACTTTCAAAGTGAAGCTTTAGTTTCCTTTTCATGACAATGCTGCAGCAGAAAGGCCTGGCCAAAGGCCCTGGCTCATCCTGCCAGGACATCAGGGAGCTCATTGCTAGAGAACCAGCTTTCTGCAAGCTGATGACCAGCCTGTGGCACTGTCCACCCTTAACAGAATGTGCACAGAAAGAAGGGGCTACCCTAGAGACCCCCAGAGACACAGCTCAGGAGCCCCCTGTGCCTGGTAGCTGGGTATTTCCACGCATCCGTTCCACTCCACTTCTATAGGCTGACCGTGTGCACCATCCCTACATGTTTGAGTGACAGCCCGTGCATCGGGTACTAGGGATACAGTCACGAACCACATAGACATAGCCCTGTGCGAGAGATAATATTATATTACCAATAATTGTAACAATCAAACCATCACGGGCCTGGCACCTTAAATGCATAATCTTCTTGATTCCTTGCAATTCTTTGCAATTGATTCTACAGTTATCTCTGATTGCCCAGAGAGGCCATTGAAGTTTACAGAGAGGAAAAATAGTATCTGACCAAGGTTGTATTCCGCCAGAAGACACAGCCTGGAGCCAGGGAGCACGTTTTACCTGATGCCATCATCATTACCCTCCCCTATCTCCCCTGGAACTGCAGACACCCAAATATGCCAATGAATATCCTAATTCCAGCAAATCATTTTCTAAGATGTATTCATGTATGCATACAGAACTGGGGTACAGGCCAGAGGTGCAGGGGGGTGAGAGGCTTCACCAGAGACAGAGTGGGGAGCAGAACAGGCAGATCAACGAAGTACACTGCTGAGGGGAACAGTGGGCGGGTCAGGAGAGGTCTGCTGCACTGTGTGGGTCACCTCCGGGGCAGACGGTGATCAAACTCATGCTGAAGTGGCTTTAGCTTCTTAGTGCTGTGCCTTAACGCACTGCACCACCAGGGAGGACCCTACACAGCACTTTTAAAGTCCCCTTTGTGTCCTGTCTTCTGATTGCCTATACATAGGAGCAAGTCTGGGTCAGTAGAAGGACGATGCAACGTCTTGTGGTCGCTCCCGTGGGTGTGGGAAGAGGGGACGAGCTGGGGACCTCACTGCATCGCTCTACCAGGCAAGGGTTGAGCAGACCTGTGCTTCTTGCTCTTACAGGAAACCAGAGAGTATGAAGTTTCCATCTAAGGGGAGCTCCAGTGGAGAGGGAACTGGCAGATAGGAACGCAACTACAACCTCCTCGAGAAATTCATCCAGAGATCATGTGGCATTCGATAGAAACCCCAGAGTGTCAGCTGTCTTTTCTTTAGACTCCTTATTGAAGATTTACTGTTTTCTTCGCTGTATTTATTATATTTAAAATTGAAATAGGTGTGGTTGGATGCAGCCAAGTTCATGGTACAGCCTAAAATCTGAAGGCAGGTCGCAGCCCTAGAGGGAAATAAAACCAGTGACTGTCCCATCAGCAGCGCCACACTGGGGCTGCATCAATTGCATGGATCTCCAGGACCCCTGGTGTACGTATTACAGCCCAAGCCCCAAGACTAGGTTGCAAAGAGTATTTCTTGTTGGACTAAGTTGGGCTGCAATTTAGCACAGATATTTTAACAGGTCCACTCCCAACCCCCCCAATGCCCTCCCTTCCAATTTGCTGGCTTCTGGAAGGCCTTGACACACCCTTCCCTCCTGTGGTCTTCCTGAAGGCAGCCGAAGAGGTGACAACATGAGCAGTCTCTCTGACCAGCCTGGCCTCGCTGGCTGCTGGCACGATAAGAAAATGTTTTCTTCCTAGAAAGAGGGCAGATGACAACGGAAAGCTTTTAGAGAAGATGAGAGATCTGAGAGTTAGAATGAAGAAGTTGGTGGGAGTGGGGGGTGCTGAATGAGGGGATTGAGTTAATGGCATTTCTCTTCTTTGACATTTAAGCACTGATGAAAGAAAGTGCAGGTTATCTACAAGTGCTAAAGTCCATTGCCTTGTTCAGCAAGGTCCCCGTCCTGCAGGGACACACCCTCCAGGGGACAGACCCACAGAGCTGGGCTGGGCAACCCCACCCACAGAGCCAGGGGCTTGCTATGGCAGGGAAGCGCTGCACCCTGAAATCCAGGACTGAGCAGCTTTTCTCCCAGGGTGCTAGAATGCCTGAGCCCTCCACATAAGGGGAGATGTACATGCATTGTTGCTCTAAAAAGTGTCACCTTCAGAAAAAAATTGCAGTCCAGTATTGGTGGGACTTGGGGATGGGAGAATAAGGAAGACACAGTGTGGGAAGGAGGAACCTATGAGGAAAGTACCTACTCTTCTATTCTCTGAAGCTCTGGCCAGATACTGAGAGGCAGCGTGAAAGCTGCCCAAAGAGATGCAGACAAAGAGAAAGGGAGAAGAATTGAAACAACATGGAACCCACATCACAGGATCAGACACCCATGAGGAGAGGAGGGATTTCAGGTCAGAAAGGGGTTCCTTGTGTCTTCATCTCATGGGCATCCTCATGTGTCCCAACCTAATGGGACATGGAGTTATGTGGCCAGCTGGAAGAATCTTTTCTAAATACAGGAATAAAGCAGAGGCAGGAAGCGAAGAGACCGGAAGGAATAGTGAGTCGGAGGCCGATACACCACCCTCCTGGGCCCCCAGTGACGCCAGCGGGGGTGACTTGGAGTCCTCCGGGGCACCTCTCACCTTAGAAGGTTTGCAAACAAGCAAAGGCTTCCTTGGGAGAGTGGTTGGTATCCATATTGGGGGGGGAGGGTTTGTTTAGGAAGCGTTTCAAGAGGGGGGGGGCAATAGACTTTGCACACACCCTTACTCCCTCCTCTCAACAAGGAACTCGGCGATCACATTTGGGGGTCAGAGAATCCTGAATAGATGGAGGCTCCTTGAGGCAAGAGGTCATTAGAGGTTGCTTTCTAGACGCCCCAAAGTCCACCCTGTTTTACAAAAGAACCCGAGGAGACATACTCCAGTCCTGCAGTGAGCAACACTGTGTTTAAAGAACAGCCAACGATGCCAATGATGTAAACTTTTCTTTTTCTTAAGGCAGAATCCAATTTTTTGCTTTTATTTCTATTTGATTCTTTATTCTAACCGTACCCCTGGGTCATCTGGAATGAAAAACTCTATTAATGATGTTTGATTTTAGGACACACTATGGTTATGTGAAAACTAACCATTTGCCTTCTGGAAAGACTGACAAAATATAAAATCTTTATTCTAACCTTGTTCCCTAAAACTGGCCAGACCATGGACCAAGACCTTTTATGGGCTATTGGAGAGCTAGAAAAGGTGTGATTTTTCTTTTCAGGATATCAGTGTCTTAGTTCTGTCTTAGTAGTACAGCACCTGTAACCACGTTTTAAAAGTTTGTTTTAGCCTAGAGATGGATATGCCGATTCGACAATGTACAGTGTGATTGAAAAGACAGGTTGGTGTCTATTTTTCTTTTTAAAATATCTGAATGTGTATTTGTAATATGTAAAGGTTTAAAAATAATAATAATAGTGCCAAAAATGTACCAGGATCTCCTTTCAGTTCATATATGTCTGTTTTTATAAGATCAATATGAAAACCCATTGGAATTAAATATTTTTGAACAGGATACACTCTTGAGAAACTCGAGAATGGACTGAACCTTCCTACAAGCCACTCTTTGTTTTTGAAACAGTGGGGAAATGCGTTTACAGAGATTTCGAGCTTTCCAGAATTCGTGTGATGACGTGTATTACATGCTCATTCTTCTAAGCTCTATCTGTCAGCTGCCGCCCTGTGCTTTAAAAGTGCGCACGCTACCCTCCTCAGCTTGGGGCTCATTCTTTTGCTTTTTAGGGGAGGGGAGCAGTAGACTTGTTTAGCCCACCTGAGTATTCTGGTCACTACCAGATGACCAACTTGGACTTAGCTGCATAGATGTGCATTAAACTTGAGCTTTCAAAACCAGCTCCCTGGAGAGCTGGGAGCTTGGAAACCGCCAAGCCTTCCAGCAGCAAGCAAGGTGGCTTCATTGTCGAGACAGCGGAGGAACAGGAGACATGGCAGGTGTGTGGGTAGAGGCGCGAGTCTTGGGCAAAAACGGCCTTTCTGTGGCGTGAACCCCAAAGGGATGACTTTCCTGGGCCCTTGGTAGGGCAGCCGGGTATGGGAGGGCAGATGTCATAGAGTTGCTCTGCACCCCCAAAGGCAGGCTTTCTCCTGGGAAATTTTCACTTTCATTTTCTCCCCAAATGGAATTAAAAAAAAAATAGCAAAACAAACTTTCTAAGCTAGAAAAATGAACTTTAATCATTTTCCACTTTGTATATATTGATGCTAATAAAACAAATGAAGAAAAGAGTCAGCTCTATGAGGTGTTTGTGGCAACTCGGGCAGGACACACTGAGGGGCACCTGCTGGGGTCGGGGCCTGGCCGGGCTAATGCCTGCTGATGCCTGAATGCTGAGACAGGACTCCCCACTTTGGATGTTTCTGGTAGCATTTGGGGATGTCTGGAGCAAGCCAGGTCTGAGGAGACTACCCTCACAGGCAGCTCACTCAGGCACCCTAACAAAGAGCCATTGAGGGGCAGCTTGAACAGCAGAAACCTCCCTACACACACACCCCCACCCCCGAGCTGTGGATACAGCCTCGGTGTTTGTTTCTGCTATGCTTTTCTTCCTACCTCGCAGATGGTCTCACTGTGTCCTCCTGGGGTTACAGGGATCTGGGGGTGGGGCAGGGGGTTGGAAGGGAGACAGAGAGCTCTGTCACTCCTCCTCTTCTTCTCAGGCCGCACTGCTAGCAGATCAGGGTCTCACCCTCACCAACTTGCTCAACCTTTATGATGCCCTGAAAGGCCTGTCTCCAAATCTGGCCACAGTGGGGCTTAAGGCTTCAGTATATGAACTGGTAGGGCTGGGGAGGAGTCCACAAGTCCCTAACGTTCTGCCCCTCGTTCTGCAAAATTCATATCCTTCTCCCAAGCAAAGTAACAGCCACTCCACCCCAACAACCCCCAAAATCTTAACTTATCAGCATCGCTACTAAATCCTGAAGTCCAAAGTCTAATGTAAAGGTCATCTAGATCAGGCCTGGATTCGAATCATCCCTCCTGAGACCAAACTCCTTTCCAGCTAGAAACCTGTAAAATCAAACAAGTTCTGCAATTCCAAAATGCAGCAGTCAGATAGGCCTAGGACAAATGTTTCCATTCCAAAAGGAAGAAATGCGGAGCAAAGAGGGGTGACAGCCGCAAGAAAAGCCCAAAACCTGGATGGCAAGTTCCTTTGGATCTTATGTCTCCAGAACAGTCCTCTTTGGTACAGTGCCATGCCCTAGGGGGCCCCTGGGGTGAATGTCACCCCCAGGGCTCTGGGGAGGGCAGCCCACCCATGAAGCTCTGTTCTAGGGAGTCAGAGATGTCATCCTGGCTGGGCCAGACACATTCCTAGCCTTTGAAACCAGGGCGGAAATGCCTCAGCCCGTGGACCGATGGTGGGAGGGAACCCATGGTGGGTGGGAGGCTCTGAGTAACATCTGGGTCATCCTTCCCTCTCTTTGACGAACAGCACCCATCACAGCTGAATAGGTCTATGGTCTCCCCTGCAGAATCCAAGAAGTCTCTGGGGGTGCAACAGAAGTTGTGCATGAACTGAGGAGTTCAGAAATACAAAGCTGGCTTTCAGAAAAGGTTAATGGCTACGGGTGCATTGGAGTGGATTCTAAGAAGTCCCAACCCCAACGCTGTCCTCCAGCTCTGTCCCACTGGGCCCTCATGGAGCTCATGGGCTGTGCCAAAGGCTGGGAGCAGGTAGGAGCCTGGGGGCGGCCCCTTCCACAAAGGCAGTCACTCTGGGAACTGGAGGCCTTGCAAGCCAGAGGCCTTCAGACCAGAGTGCAGAGCCGCACAGAGATGTCCCTGCCTCCTCTCAAGTCCGTCATGGGCTTTCTCTCTCAGACTGCTGATGCTTAACTGCTGGCGTGTCCTGGATCATGGGTTTGTTCAAACTGAAGTGCAAGAGAATTATAACTTGCAGGCCCATATTTAATAAGTAGTGGTCTCACACTTCATAATTTTGTGAATAAAATATCTCCATCTTATTTTACTTATGGTATGTGTCATATTTTGATTTTCTTAAACCACTGACTACTTTATTTGAGGTCTTATTTGGAGCTTTAAAGGCCTCTTCCTTTTGCCAAGAACTTATGAACTATTGTTATAGGATGACTGAAGAAATAGCTAGAACTTTACCATCTACCTGTCTGTCTGTCTGTCTGTCTCTCTCTCTCTCTATATATATATATATATATAAGTATATATATATATATACACACATACACACACACATATATACATTTACTATATATATTTACAATTTAAATGATTTTTATTTTAGAAACACTTCAGATTTCCTAGGTATTAGATGTACTTTAATATCAAATACATACTGTGTATATACATATAGATGCATAAATATATGGGCTATATGGGATATACACACACACATATATTTGGGATATACACACACAGAGAGACAGAGGGGTATGGAGGAGACCGCACTCTCCCCAAGGGAGCATGACCTGACGGTTACATATGCCAAGTGTGGAATGAGACAGCCTTGGGTTCACAGCTCAGCAATGACACTCGTTCACTGTCTAACCCTGAGCCGGGGACTTAGCCTCCCCCTGCTCCGACTCCCATCTATATAATCAGGACACCAGGGCTGCCTGTGAACATTAAATGAGTTGATTTATGTAAAGCACTCAGAACAGTGCCTATATATAAGAAAGACTCCACATATGTTTGCTAGGAGCCGTGTAGCTGTCAAAGCAGGCGAGCGGGGATTCCCTTCCCACGGTGGCACCCCTGTGCCTGGTGACTGCAGCGTGGCTCCTGCCTGCTGGGACCCTGTAATCTTGTGGCAAGACAGACCCAAATCTACAGCTAGCATGAGCCCACGTGCCAAGAGTGGGGTGTACAAGTCTGCTGGGTGAAGTCATGATTGGGGGCAAACAGTTTGGGAGGTGACTCAAGTTGACAGCTGAAGGATACAGAGAACAGTAAAGGGGGACATCTGAGGGCAGAGGGGACCTGTGGTGCTGTGAGGAAGGGGCGAGGCACTCCAACTGCTTGGTAGGCAGGGAAGGAAGCCACGTCCATGGTTGATGCTCCCTCTAGTGGCCGCAAGGAGGAACCAATCCAATGCTGAGAAATTCTCAAGGAAGGGGGGCTCCGAGTTGTCACTTTATTTGAGGACACTGTGACAAATGAAGAAGTGGAGGAGGGGCATGGAGAGAACGTCCCCTGGATGTTCGGGTCTGATCCTTTCCTATACGCGTTCAATAATTTTCTCTTATAAAACGGAGGAGCGGGTCCTGGGAAGAAACTTTGTCAGAAGCCTTGAGGCTGCTTGAACCATTCATGAGCTTGTCACTCCGTTGGGTACAGATGGAGATTCCCAGGAAGAATCTTCTTGGCAAGGTCAAGAAAAAAGATGCACCCAGGATGGCTTTGCAGACCAAGATTCTTGGACTGTCTTAGACTGGCTGCCCTACAAGCTTAGAACAACAGCACGAGGCAGAGCTTCCCTGGAGACCAGACCCCACTCTCCATGAGAGAGGTGCCTCACCCACATGGGGCAGAATGAACAATGCAGGCCAGGAGACAGTGTCAACCAAGAGACCCAGGAGAGCCTGTCGAGATAATGCAGCAGAGGTAGTAGTCATGTGGCAGGAACCCAGGTGCCTCAGTGGCGGAGCTGGCAGCAGCAGTGGTGTTCTGTCACCCCTCCGCAGGATCATCCACAAGTAAGTCGTGGCAGTTGCTCCCTTTTATGCAGTCATGTACTTCCTGGATCATGCATTGGACCAATCAGGTGCAAGCTATGAGCTGATTGGTGCTAAGAGGTCCAATCAGTCACAGGAGCGAAAAATGGTCCAATCAGACTTGTGGGTGGGGCTCTTTGAAAGAGGGGTTAAGACAGGGTTGCTGGGAGCTGAGAAGCAGAGGGTTCCACCCTCAAAGAAAGAAGGAGGCTCTTTGTTCCAGCGGCTAAACTCTGTTTCAGCATCTGAACTCTGTTCTTGGCCCCTGAAAAGAGGATGTAAAAGGACCAGAAGCCAGCATGCGGTAGCCCACCTTCAAGAAGGGAGGAGAAGCCGAAGACCTCTAGCCCACCTTCAAGAAGGGAGAAGAAGCTGAAGACCTCTGTCAGGGCATCCGGTCCAGTCTCTGGCATCGCCTGAAAGGAGCACCAAAGGCTCCAGACCTGGTGTCACAGAGAGCTGACCAGCAGTGGGACCAGCAGGGGATCAGCAGTGACCATCACTACTGGCGAGTGCTGTCCGGCGCTCCTGGTGACAGGGGACTGGTTCTCTGCTGGTACTTCTGGTGGACACTGGGTGAGGCAGCCGCCACTTGTGGCCACAGTGAGCTCTTTGTTTCCCTGTTTGTAAAATAAACCCCATGGTGGTAGTTCCTGGAGCCTGAGGTCTCCTGCAATTGTGCTCATGGGTGAGACCCACAGACAGTGACTGTCCTCCTACCGGGCACTGTCCGTTGTTAGGCTCCAGCCGGTAGCCCCTCCTGTGTATAGCTATATTGCTATAGCCCTTGATTTTGCATTTTGGCCTTTTGGGACTTATTGGCATCTCTCTTTTCTCAGAGTCCAGGCCAGGTAAGTGGCCATTCTGACCTAATCTGGCATCCTATTCACAAGCCTTACCACCCTGCTTCAGCCAGTGGTAGTAGAATGGTACTAGTGGTAGTAGTCATCGTAGCTTTAATAGTTAATAGTAGTAGTGGTATTTAGTAGTAGTTAATAGTTTTTTTTTTACATTTTAAATATGTAAGTGACATTTTAAATATTGAAACAGAATAGTTTTAGATTTCCTCGTTATTTGATAAAATTTGATATCTCATTTATCCCCATGAGTAAAGAAATGAGCATCATTCTCCTTTGACATATGTGGGGAGTGAGATTCAAAGAGATTAAGTCATTTGCCAGAATCCGCACAACTGGGACCCAGGTAGTGAGACCCAGGAGGTCTGGCTCCTTGGGTGCTCCTGGGGTGCTCCTGGGGTGCTCGGTGTCAGCTGGATCAAAGGTTGGCCTGAGCGGTGCCTCCTCCCGTATGGGTGCACAGGACCAAGCCCCCATGGTAGGGACTCTGTCTTATTTGGCTCTTGTTCCAGAAGGTGTCTGGCTAGATTCAAAAGTGACTAAGAGCCAGAACTCTGGGTGAGGGACCCAGGTTAGTTCTGGGAGGAGGAGGGAGATGACTTCCAGCATTACTGTGGAGATCCCCGGTGTAATCAGAGGGCCTCTACACACACACACACACAC